GCTGGCGATGGCGATGGCCATGATGATTGCGATGTGATCATGCTGATGACGATAGTTTTGGTGGGTTTGGTGGTTCTGATGATGGATCCGCAGGAACAGACTTTGTGGACATTTCGGAGGGAAGAGTAGGATGAGAAACGAAGCAGGAGAATGCGGATGATGATGATGAGGAGGAGGAGGAGGAGGAGGAGGAGGACGATGGACGAGCAGGGGGAAGAGGAATAGGCAAATCATGGATCCATCTTGCGAGGGACGTGGGATGGTAGGAACGGATAAGCAGGTCGGTCAGATCGATGACGACGACAATTGTGGTGGTGGTGGCGGTGTTGACGACGACGATGGCGATAACGATGAGAATGATGACGATGGTGATGATGCTGCTGCTGAGGATTCGGATGCTGATGAGGCTATTGCTACGGATTATGCTGGAGATGGCGATGATGCTGATGTGGGTGATGCTGCTATCTCTGATGCCGACTATAATGGCGGTGATTCTACTAGTGCTGACGGTGATTTTGCGTGTGTTGTTGTTGATGTTGATGATGGTAGTGGTGATGCTGATTCTGATGATGCTGCTGATGCTGCTGAGGATGATTATGATGATGATTATGATGGTGATGATGGTGGTGTTGATGATGCTGATGGTGATGGTGATGGTGATGGTGATGGTGATGGTAACGATGATGATGATGCTGATGATGATGCTGATGATGATGCTGATGATGATGCTGATGATGATGATGCTGAAGATGATGATGACTCTGATGATGATTCTGATGATTAGGTGGATGTTGATGATGATTATGCTGCCGATGGTGATGATTAGGATTATGATGCTGATGCTGACGATGCTGTTTCTGACGATGATGCTGCTGCTCTTGACATGGTGCTGCTGTTGCTACTGATGCGGATGATGATGATGATGATGATGACGATGATGATGATGATGATGATGATGATGATGATGATGATGATGATGATGATGCTGATGATGATGATGATGAGGAGGAGGAGGAGGAGGAGGAGGAGGAGGGGAGGATGATGATGATGATGATGATGATGATGATGATGATGATGATGATGATGATGAGGAGGAGGAGGAGGAGGAGGAGGAGCAGGAGGAGGATGATGAGGATGATGAGGATGATGAGGATGATGAGTTGTGGCTTTGGCTCTGCGTGGTGGTGGTGATGATGCTGGTCGTTATGGTGGTGGTGACGATGAGGAGGAGGTGAGGAGGAGGAGGAGGAGGAGGAGGAGGAGGAGGAGGAGGAGGGAGAAACATAGGTGGAGGGAGTTGCGGGATTAGGCGTAGGTATAAGGAGGAGGAGGAGGAGGAGGAGGAGGAGGAGGAGGTCGGTTCGATCAGAGTGATTGCAGCCGGGCGCCACGTCCTCGCGAGCGCGCGGGTTGGATGGGAGGCGGTCCCGCGCCGCACGAGGGGGGAGGCGGGAGGCGGAGGGAGGAGGAGGGAGGAGGAGGGAGGAGGAGGGAGGAGGAGGGAGGAGGAGGAGGGAGGAGGAAGGAGGAGGAGTGAGGAGGAGGGAGGAGGAGGGAGGAGGAGGGAGGAGAGAAGGCATGCCATCTTCCTGGAGGGCCGCTGTCCGCGCCCGAGACTCGGCCGATTCGGGCCGTGTCTCGCCAGAGGGAGGCTCGGCCGACGGAAAAAGCGACCCAGTGCCCGAGAGCCTCTCAAGGCATTTGGGTACTTCGAAAGCCTCCGATCCCCCAGGCCTGGACCTAAAAGGTGTTTCGGCGATTTCGTGGGCCGTTTTCGTTTCGACTTCGTTTTGTGGTAGAGGCGGATTGAAGGCAAAACGCGGGAAAACGAAAACAAAACGAAAACGAAAAACACCGTTCAGGTTCAGCCATGCGATTTCCTTTTGACTCGGGGGCTTAAGAGGCGGGGGCCAGTGCAAACGGCGGTCAGCCAGGGCGCCGGCCGACCCGGGCTTGAGCGCAGGATCGTGCAGGACTGCAGGATCTTGCACCATTGCGGACAAAAGAACCCTGACTCTAACAACACGGTGAAGACGCAGCCTATTTCAGTTTTCCGTCTTCGCATTCGAAACAATGATTCTGGTCATTTTGTTTCGATGCACCGGCAGAACTGACCCCCTATCCCTCTTGTTCCTGGCCCTTCTAACTTAGGTTCCCTCCCAAAAGGGTTAGGGGTCCTTTTTTGGTCAATTATTGCAGGCTCCTGCAGAGCCTGACTGACCCGGGTCTAGATTGAGCCGGGTCGGTAGATCCCCGATCGACAAGGGTGTCGCTGGAGGTCTTCAGAGGTCTCTGGCGTTCCTGGAGGTCTCTGTAGATCGGTGTGGGCCCCCCAGCAGCTCTCTGGAAGCACAGACAGGGCCGCCAAGTCCGTCCAAGAACCTCGATGCTCGATTCTGCCATGAATCCTGCTGCTTCAGGATTCTTGTGCGCAGGGTAAATGGCGTGTCTTCCTCCTGCTCATCCTCCCCCCGTCCTCTTCTTCTTCCTTCCCCGCGGCGCGCAGGCTTGTGGGGCAAGCTTGCGACTACAATGTGAGAACGAGCAGTCGGAACCAGCGGCATCAGCTGCCATGCGAGAAGGAGATGCGCCCGCTCAGCCCAGGGACGGCTCGGTGGCCCCGGAGCTCCCATCTCGGGCTCAGATGAACGACATTCCACAACAAACCGCAATACTTCCTCTTCCATCTTCGTCCCTCCTCCTCCCCCTCCTCCTGCCTACCAGAGCCCCTGAGACAGCATGCTACACTCTATCGACCTCTTCCCCTTCCGAATGCCTCGGACCTCTCCCCCTGTTCGGTGCGGACGAATGCCTGGCATCGCTCGGACGTGTGAAGACTCGCAAGCTCTCGGCGCGCGGCCGCGGCCGCGACTCGCTCCTGAAGGGGGGGGAGTACTACTAGTAGTAGTACAGTCGACCCGTATACTAAGTATGCGCGGTAAGGATGCAAGGGCCTTGGAAGGCCCATGCCGACACTTTTCGAGTGGGGCTGGCCAGCGAAAGTTGCCAGGGATGGGCCGAAGGGGCAAGGGTGCAAGGGTAATCTTGGGATGGTTGCTCATCCTTACTACGCGGGTTGAGTGTAGTAGTAGTAGTAGTAGTAGTAGTAGTAGTAGTAGTAGTAGTAGTAGTAGTAGTAGTAGTAGTAGTAATAATAGTATAAGGAGTAGTAGTAGTAGTAGTAGTAGTAGGAGTCGTAGTAGTAGTAGTAGTAGTAGTAGTAGTAGTAGTAGTAGTAGTAGTAGTTGTTGTTGTAGTAGGTAGTAGTAGTAGTAGTAGTAGTAGTAGTAGTAGTAGTAGTCGTCGTAGTAGTAGTAGTAGTAGTAGTAGTAGTAGTAGTAGTAGTAGTAGTAGTAGTAGAAGTAGTAGTAGCAGTAGTAGTAGGAGTAGTAGTAGTAGTAGTAGTAGTAGTGGTAGTAGTAGTAGTCGTAGTCGTCGTAGTAGTAGTAGGTAGTAGTAGGTAGTAGTAGTAGTAGTAGTAGTAGTAGTAGTAGTAGTAGTAGTAGTAGTAGTAGTAGTAGTAGTAGTAGTAGTCGTAGTAGTAGTAGTAGTAGTAGTAGTAGTAGTAGTAGTAGTATAGTAGTCGTAGTAGTAGTAGTAGTAGTAGTAGTAGTAGTAGTAGTAGTCGTAGTAGTAGTAGTAGTAGTAGTAGTAGTAGTAGTAGTAGTCGTAGTAGTAGTAGTCGTAGTAGTAGTAGTAGTAGTAGTCGTAGTAGTAGTAGTGTAGTCGTAGTAGTAGTAGTAGTAGTAGTAGTAGTAGTAGTAGTAGTAGTAGTAGTAGTAGTAGTAGTAGTAGTAGTAGTAGTAGTAGTAGTAGTGGTGGTGGTGGTGGTGGTGGTGGTGGTGGTGGTGGTGGTGGTGGTAGTAGTAGTAGTAGTAGTAGTAGTAGTAGTAGTAGTAGTACTAGGAGGAGGAGGACGAGGAGGAGGAGGAGGAGGAGTAGGAGTAGGAGTACTAGATTGAAGGCAGGAAGGAAGGAGAAGGGTGGGAGAAGGAAGGGAGCGGAGGATGGCCCCAGGATTGCTTTCCAGAAAATTCTTGGATTCGGAACCTTAGGTTTTGTTTATCTGTAAAAGCTGATTCTTTTGAATCGTTTTCAATTTCGCATGTGGGGGTGTCCACGGTGGGCACCTAGCGGGAATAAAACAAAAACCCAGGAAACACAAGTTCAGGGCCTGGGGGGGACAAGGGGAGGAGGGGGGGAAGGGGGAGGAGGAAGAAGACAAGGGGAGATTCTTGTCTACTTTCTCAGCCTTGAGCCTCTTGGCCTCGAGCCCGGGCAATTGCGGGGGGGAGGAGGAGGAGGAGGAGGAGGAGGAGGAGGAGGAGGAGGAGGAGGAGGAGGGCCACGAACCGTGTGCGGGATGCGCTTAAAAAGTAACTCGAATGCTCTGCCTGCTCGAAAACCGTATGTAACTTCAAAATCCAATCGGTCCCCATGGCCCTGCCACACGTTCCTGACTCGGGAACGGCTGAGACAGTGAGAATCCCATGGCCCTGCCGCACGTTCGTGACTTGAGAAAACTGAAATGGTGAGAATCCCATAGCCCTGCCACACGCTCGTGATTGCGGAAGCTGAAATGGTGAGACCACCATTGCGATGCTCAGCGTTTGTGATGCTGTTGCTAGTCAACATGAGATGATAGCAATTTCGGTTCGCAACTTTCCCCAGGGATTATCAAGTTCGGCCTCCGCGCCCCTCTCCACAATTAAATCCTATCGACACGGGATTAAAAAAAGATACGGGGAGGAAGGGGGGGGGATGATTTCTATACTATCGGGGGCACTGGGTTCTGTGTGTGCGTGCCCTGCCTTGCTGCTGGCAGCCACGCTCAGACGTATGATATGATAGAACCCAGGGAGGAAGGGGGGGGATGATTTACTATCGAGGGCACTGGGTTATGTGTATGCGTGCCCTGCCTTGCTGCTGGCAACCGCGCTCAGACGTATATAGTCTAATAGAACCCCTCTCGGTGCGTCTCGCCGCCCACGCGCCCGCAGGGACCGCGCCCGCGCGCCCTCGCAAGAGCGGCCGCGCTCCCGCGGGGCGCCGGCGACCGCCAGCGCTGGCGCCGGCGCGGCGGCCGGCAGGGCGCAGCAGCAGGACCGCGGGTCGCCGCCGCCGCCCGCGGGTCGCCGCGGGCCGCCGCCTGTCGGCGGCCATCTGTGGCCATCGGAGGCCTCTACCGCCTCCACCTCCTCCTCCTCCTATTCCTCCTCCTCCTCCTCCTCCTCCTCGTCCTGGGTTCCCCCGTCGCGTGGCGCCCACGAGCGGCCTCGAAGGGCCTTCGGCGGCCTTGGGCCGCCGTCGCAAGTCCAGCCGCTGCCGCCGTTATCTCCACCGTCGCCGCCGCCGCCGCCGCCGCCGCCCTCGCCGTCGTCGTGCGCAGGGCGCCGCAGCAGGTCCGCCGACTTGTGAGGAGGGGGCTCAGGAAGGGAGGGTTTATGGGTGCGTGGTTGGTGCACCATGGGGTGACTCAGAATTACTGGTCTTCCTGCTTCGACTCCTGCTCCCTAACTCTCCTCTCTCCTCGTCTCCTCGTCTTCGTCCTCGCTGTCCTCCCCGTCGTCGTCGTCGTCCTCCCCTTCCCCCCCTCCCTCCCATCTTTCCTCTCTCCCCTGGGGTGCCCTGCCCAGTACGAGACCCCGCTGCACCCGTGCGGCTTCGTCTTCAAGGCCCGTGCGGCCGAGCCCTGGGGCGCGGCAGGGGATCGGAGCAGAGGCCGCCAGGGCCCCTAATGGGAGGAGGGTCAGGAGGGTTGGGAGTTGTGGGAGGAGGCGGAGGGTTTGGGAGGGAGGGTCCACGAGGAGAGTGGGAGGACGAGGACGAGGAGGAGGAGGAGGAGGAGGATAATAGATGATGATGCTGCTGCTGATGATGCTGATGATGCTGATGATGATGCTGCTGCTGATGATGCAGATGATGATGCTGATGATGATGCTGCTGATGATACTGCTGATGCTGCTGATGATGATGATGCTGATGATGATGCTGCAACTGATGATGCTTCTTGTTGGTGATGCTGATGGTGATGATGGTGATGATGATGCTGATTATGGTGCTGATGCTGATGCTGATGATGCTGATGATGATGAGTATGTTGCTGATGCTGATGCTCATGATGATGAGGGTGGTGATGATGCTGATGATGCTGATGATTATGTTGCTGTTGATGATGATGCTGCTAATGTCAATGAGTACGATGAGGCTGATAATGATGATACTGTTGCTGTTGCTTATGATGATGGTATGATATCGAGGATAAGGCTACTGATAAGTATGCTGCTGATGATGTTGCTCAGGATGATGATATCGACGAGTATGCTGAGGCTGATGATGACTCTGGACGTGATGACGCTGCGGTCATCAACGGCTTATGGTGAAGAGCATGATAATGATCACGATGCTGATGATGGTGATGATGGTGATGATGATGGTGGTTGTGATGATGAACCAGATGGGCATGAGGTACACGTGGATGCTGATGTTGATGTCGAATATGCTGATCACGATTTGCACCATGAGCATGATGCCGATGTTGATGCTGATTATGACGATGTTGAGGATCTGATCACGATACTGCTGCTGATTGTGCTGCCGACGATGATGCTGTTGCTATGCTGATGCTCATGCCTATGCTGCTGGTGGTTTGAGGTGATGCTGCTGCTGCTGCTGCTGCTGCTGCTGCTGATGATGATGATGATGATGATGATGATGATGATGATGATGATGATGATGATGATGATGCTCGGAGACTGAGGAACGAAGGATACGATTTTACCAACCAGCTTTTGTTCGCAGACAGTCTCCTGAGGAAGTTCTGGCTGGCTGGCTTCGACAGGCCCCCAGGTCAGTCAGGGCTCTCCGCGGGCTCGGAGGCTGTGCCGAGACCGCCCCTGGCCTTGGTTACCCTGGGCACATGACGGGACTACAGTCGACCCGTATCATAAGGATGCGCGATAAAGATGCAAGGGTTTTGGAGGGCCATTTCGAAGCTTCTCGAGCGGGGCGCGGCCAGCGAAAGTGGCCAAGGATGTACCGATGGGGCAAGGATGCAAGGGTCAGGGATCGGAGGAGGAAGGAGGAGGGGGGAGGGGGCAGCGGGAGCGAGTCAGGTGACGCGGGGCGCTGTCTCTCCAAAGCGACGACACCACAGGATGGTGGGGAACAAAAACACGTGGTCGTCTGCGCCGACCTCCGCGCGTCAGCTGCCCGCATGAGCTCGCGCGTGAGCGCCCTCGTCTCCGCGCTGGCGCGCCGCGTGGGCACGCGCGGGCCACCGCGCAAGGTCGCGAGGCCGTCTCGCGCACGTCCTGTTCCTTGCCGCCGCCCGGATGGCAGCTGCCCGACGCCGTCCGCCTCTCCCACGAGGCCCTCCCCGCCACCGGCGGCAAGGTTCAAGTCGGGCCTGTCGCTCTCCAGGAGGAACATATTCAAGAAGAGTCCAAAAATCGCCGGGGGACGATTGTTCGACCATTTCTTTGCGTATTTTTAGGGTACTGCTTGACAATTTTTATCGTTTTTCGTCCAAAATCCCCCTGTAGGGGGACAGGCCCGACTTAACACCACCCGCCTCTCCCACTAACACCACCCGCCTCTCCCACGAGGCCCTCCCCGCCACCGGCGGCAAGGTCCACGCCGGGGCCCTGCGCGCGCCCGCCCTCTGGCGGGCGCGGCGCCTTGGCCGCCGCGTAATGGGGGGGCCCGAAAGGGGTACGAAAGGGGACCTTTTCTGACCCCCCCCATCTGTGACCCCCCCATTAAGCCACGCCCTGTAGGGGGACAGGCCCGACTTTAACACCACCCGCCTCTCCCACGAGGCCCTCCCCGCCACCGGCGGCAAGGTCCACGCCGGGGCCCTGCGCGCGCCCTCTGGCGGGCGCGGCTCGCGGCCGAGCTGCTCGCGGCTGCGGCGCGCTCGGCCACGAGGCCTTGGCCGGCGACCACGAGGCCCTGGCCGGCGAGCTCCGCGGGGCCAGCCTTCAGTCAGGCTCGTCCCCCTGCAGGGGGAATCTTCAAGAATAGTCAACAAAAATAGTCAGGGGACGACTTCTGGAACGTTCATGAATCTGTTACATGTTTTGCCTATTTACGAGGCCCTAACCGGCGAGCTCCGCGGGGCCAGCCTTCAGTCGGGCTCGTCCCTCTGCAGGGGGAGTCTTCAAAGATAGTCAAAAACATAGTATGGGGACGACTTTTGGACCGTTGTTGAATACTTGTTCAAGCATTTTTTGACAATTTTTTAGGTTTCGTCCAAAATCCCCCTGCAGGGGGGCAGGCCCGACTGAAGGCCAGCCCCGAGCGCGCCGTGCGGGAGCAGCCTGCCGGCCGTCTTCGGGGGGGGGGCGCCCGCGGGCAGCGGCGCTCGGCGCCTGCGCTGGCGCCGCTGCGGGCCTCGGCCAGCGAGGAGCACGAGGGCGTCCGGCGGCAGGCCGCGGTCGCTGCTGGGGGGCCTTGGGCCGACGGCGGGGCGGCGTGCCGTGCCAGCGGCAGCTCGCGGCCTCGCAGGGGAGCAGAGCGCGACGCACGCCTCTCGTTGTTCCTTACCAGCCTCGAACGTATCCCTATCCCTAAGATTGACACGCCAAAAGGCGATGACAATCTCAGGGGTTCGCCCTCAAAGAATAAGGGGATCCCTAAGACTGACATCGTGGTGAGGAGGTGCCCAGCATAGGGATAGGGATATGTTCCAGGCTGGTAAGTTCCCCGTTCCTCCTCTGGTCATCCCGAAGGAAACTCGGCATGGTCAGGCGGAAGAAAGTCCGCAAGCTGATGAGTACGAATTTGTTGCCCGCTGCGGCAGGACCGTTATTTCGAGGCGCAGTGGCGGCGTTCGCGCAATCGACGGAACTCGGGATCGCGAGGGCTCGCTATTGAGTGCGTGGGCGGGGCTCCTGTGGCGCGGATGTCGCCAAGGTGAGCTTACACCTTGACGACGTATGTCGTCGCACGCGTCGACGATATCGATGCGTGCAGGTTTTAGATGGACATTGCTGCATGGTGCATTAACCTATGTGAGCAACCGTGGCCGCTGCAGCGAGCAGGTGTCGGAGCCCCTCGAAAGCATACACCTGCTCAGATGGGGCACTGTTCAGTTTGTTCGCATAGATGTATGAAGAGTGCTGAGGGAATGCGGAGGTGAACTATGTTCGCACGTGTTTCTGCTGTTGGACTGCTGCTCCCTGTCGTAGCACGAGTTTGCACGCCTGGATGTGCAGCTGTCTGCGTCAAGCTCAGCCACCGTGCCGGCGCAGCACTCTGTGTGGTGACGCTCCGAGCACCGCCCAGGAGACCGTACCATGAACGTGACACAGGAGGCCTTTTGTGAGACCTACCCTGGCCGTTTTGGGTCCCTGTGGGGCCGTCTCGGGGTCATCTTGGAGCTTTTTGGGGCCGTTTTATCGCCCTCTTGAGACTCTCTTTGTTACGTCTCGGGCCGTGTGTGGCTCTATCGCCCATCGGCCGCCTGGTTCGTTTCCTGGGCTCTCAGGATCGGGGGGAGAGTAAAATATGTGAGCCAGGTTTATGAGGGCTGTGTGTCAAGGACGCTGCAGGACACGCAACAACCTGACCTCATGTCTCACCGACAAAATGGAAGCTCATAAAGGGCATAAGATAAGCCCTGAGCCGCATCTTGCAGTGTATCTGCCTCTGGACGTTGGGGGCTTTATCGGGCCCAGTGGCCTTTCCACTTTTGGACAGTCCCACTCAGCGCTGAATCTCTTGCATAGGGCTTCGTTGACTGAGAGAGGAAGGGTTGGAAGGGGGAGAGGAGACACAGGGAGGAGTTGCGGCACCCGTCCTCTCGCGGCTCTCCTGCCTGCCTGTCGGTCGGTCCACCCCACCGCCTGGCGGCCGCCGCAGCTGCTGCTGCTCGACACGTGGTCGGACGTGCATTACGTCGGCCTCGACGGCGTGGAGCTTTACGATCTCGAGGCGGGTTTGGAATCCGCAGGTGATTTCGCAACGGCCCTCCTGTTTTCCCATGTATTTCCCACATCTTGAGACGGGGTTCTTGTTTATACTCGGGCGCCTCCTGACCTCACTCCTCCACTCCCTCCTCTTCCTCTGTCAGAGTCACTTAGGGAATATCGGTGCGTCTCTTATTAGGGCCGCGCAGTCGCCGCGACGACGCAGTAGACATACGACTTGGGTACTACAAGAGTTAGCCGCCAGGGAGCAGGACACATGCGCGTGAGTGCCCAGAGATTGCGGACATATCACGCGACGTGCTGGGTGTTGAGAGGTAAACGTGTCTCTGTTCAGGGCTGCGTGATAATTGCGAAATGATGGCGGGTGGGACATTTACCCATTGGCGCCCAGCTTGTTGGGATGCCTCAAGTGGAACTCTGGCTTTTATGTTTTGAGTGTGTTTGTACTTGTTCAGGATTGCCTGGTCGTCGTGGTGTAGCAGGCGCGGCACCTGGGGATCGCAAAGGGGGGCCGATAGGGGGGGGTACATCACGGGCGCTGTCGCGTTCATATTGCGAGGATTTCTCGGCCAGTTTCTCACATACCCGTTCTTTGTCCGACGCTCGTAGAAAAAATGAACCGCAGTGAAACGTAGCGTGAGTGAGGGTGATCAGGGGAAGCTGGAGGAGGAGGATGAGAAGGAGGGGGGGGAGGAGGAGGATGAGGAGGAGCAGGAGGAGGAGGACGAGGAGGATGAGGAGGAGGAGGAACTCACCGATGCATACATGATGATCTCTCGTGTCGAAGCATTTTTCCTGCCGTCGCCTGTGCAGCATCTCGCTCTTGAGAGGCTCTACCTCACTTACACTTGGCCTGTGCAGCCCATGCCCGTCTGAGTCTCTTACTCACCCCCTCTCTCCAGCGCTCTCCCGCTCGTTGTTCAAACCCTCCTTTTCCCTCTTAGCTCTCTTTGGTTCCTCCGCCTTTTATGATGCCGCGCAGATTTGGTAGGCCACTTGGGCTTCGGGGCGCGCTGCAGTTAACAACGTTTCGTCCGCCAGGCCTCGTTTGCGGTGGGTTGGTTTGTGCTGCGTTCCAAGCGCATGTGTCGTTGCTCCAGTACGCACTGTGCTGCAGCCGCGCGGTGGTGCGTTGCAGCGCGTTCTTTCCCTCTCCCTCCTCGCGCCTTTCCTTTCTGCCCCCCCCCCGCCCCCCCCGCTTTTTGTCGGCGGATGCGCGCGGGATGGCGCCCCCTCTTTCCCTTCCCCCCGCCTGCCCCGCGGCGGCGCCGACGGCGCTCTGAGCCCAGTGCGGAGGTGTCAGGGCCAAACTTGGGTGGCCGACTGGCGGGAGGCCTGACGCTGCGCCCCTGCCTTGTGGGGGGGGGGTATTTTTGCTGCTCCTCTTCCTGATTCGCCCGTTCCCCTTCCTCCGTCCTCGCCAACCTTGCCTTGCCATTCAGCATCGCTGGAAACGCGCGCTGGTCCCTGCTTTGGCGCCGAGGGTGCGAGGAACTCGCAAGCGACGGCGCCGAGACTTTTGGCTGCGTGGTTGGGTTGGTTGGTCGCCGTGGTCGTTGTTTCTGTCGCTGTCGAGCAACCACATCTTACTGCAAGGTGCGCTCCCCCTCCGAAGTTCGCATTGTGGGGGCGTCTCAAGGGATGCCGTTGTGTTTGATGGTTGGGTGATTGGTTGCTTTGGTCGGCGCGGCTTTCGCCCGCATGCTTTGCTGCGGGGCCGGTTCCCCGAGTGCGCGCACGACGTGATGTTCATTGGGCTTACTAAAGTGTTTACCAGTCCTGCGGTGTTCGCGCAGGGCCTGCGTGGCGGCGCGCAAAATCAACGATCCCGGGTATCGCGCACTTCCTGCGGCCTGGGCAGCGCGACCGGCCACGCGGTGCATGTATCGCCCACGGCCCGCGCGATTCGCGCTGTCCGTGCGTCTCGTCCAGCCATCTGCAGGGGGCGTCCGCGCGCTTCGCGCGGCCCATGTGGCCTCGCTAGTCCGACGCGGCCCCCCGCCCCCGCATCCCATGCGGATCGCGCGGCCCATGCGGATCGCGCAGCTCCCGCGGCCCATGCGGCGCATGCAGCTCCCGCGCCCCACGCGCGCCACGGTCCACGCGCAGAGGTCGCCCTCGCCACCATGCCCCGAGCTCTTGCGACAAGGGCGCCACTTGCGCGCGGTTTAGGAACTGATTTGTGCAGCGTGTCCCCACTTCCGACTCTTCCGCTTCTTCGTTTGCGTTTTCCAGTTTGTTATTTGGGTCTTTGTTTCCCCATGTTTTCTCGATTGTTCTTCCAGCTCTCCGTTGCCGCGCGGATTTGGCTTGTCGTTTGTGGTAGTCGGGGCGCGCTGCAGTTAGCAGCGGATCGTCCGCCAGGTCTCGCTTTTGGCGGGTTGGTCCGCGCTGCGCCCCACGTGCATCGCGGCCTTCCTCTTTGCCATGCGCTGCAGCCGCGTGGTGTTGTGTTGCAGCGCGTTCGTTCCCCCTCCTCCCCTTCCCTCCTGCGAGCCAACCTTTCTCGCCCCGCTCCCCCGCCCCTGGGCTGACGTTGAACGGCGCTCCGCGTTTCCCTCTTCGCCCCTTCGATCCAGGCTCCGGCGGCCGAAAGTGGGCGGGGGGGCCCTGCATGGCGCCCGTGCGTTGCGGTGGGACTCTTCCCGCCCCCGCCCTCCCCTTCGTCGGCCCCGCCATTTGCGCCCTCCCCCCGTGTCGTGGCGCCCGCGACGCGAGGAGGTCTCAAGCGGCACTGCCGTGACGTTTGGCTGTTTGATGGGGTTCGTTGTTTGGGTGCTTGGTTGCGTGGCGGGTTTGTCGGTTGATTTGCTTTCGCTTGTCCGCCTAGGTCGTTCCCCGCGCCGCCCTCTTCAACCCCAGCCGCTGCCGTCGCAATTGCGCTCCCTCCGCTCAACGTAGCCACTTTCAGCGTTGCAGGATGCACGCCTCTTTCCCCGTAGCGTGATTCGCGTTATTTGTTCGACGCATCCGCATCCTGCCCTCCCGCCCCCACTCTCCTCGACGTCCTCGCGCGCGCGTCGTGCGCGCGGCAGATCCGCTGACGCCGTGGCGCGCTGACGCTCAGACCCGTTCGCAAGCAAACCCGCTGACACTTAAACCCGTTCGCGCCCGATGTAGATTCACTCTCACAGTTCTCGCACATAATCATTCAGGCTCACTCACTCCCACAGCCAACCACATTTATACATATCGTACTTCTCATGCGCGGCATCAGGCCCACCGAGATGTAGTAGGCGTAGCAGAACGGTACCCCAAGGAGATGCCCCTTGGGAATGGCCGTTTGGTAGAACGCACCCCTATGTTTTGACGGACGCGCGTGTGCGAGGCTCGTGGGCGCCTCGAGGAACAACCGCCAGGGGGTCGGACACGTGTCCGTTCGCGATCTTAAAATGAGGACCCTCCGGGCTGTTTGCTTGTTCGGCAAAACGTGCAATTCTATTTGGAAAGACGCATAAGCAGCGCTGCATACCCAGGGTGCCACTTTGGTGCCCCAAGGAGGAGCCGCCAGGGAGCAACGCACTTGCCCGTTCGCGCCCAGATTGCGTGCGGAACATACTCTTCTCTCTTGAGAGCCGTATGGTCGCCGCGACAAGGAAGGCGTGGCACTTGGTCAACCCAACATGGGCCGTGTTTGTTCGCGCCCGCAGTGCGGTTGGTGTCTCAACGGGTTTGCGCGCTTCTTGGGACAGATCTTTTTGTCACCCCGAAGACAACACGCGCTAGGATGTATGATGTTTGTCCCTCGCGCGAATGTCGTGGGGACGTGTTCGGTGGCTTGCTCGTGTTACTTGGGCACCTCAAAGGTTAGCCGCTAGAGAACGCTCCGTCGCCACAGGCTGATACGTTCCCACGCCAAACAAATCACAGCGGGACGTGCCCAGACACAATGTGCGCGCGTGGGGATCTGGTTGGTTGGTTGGTTAGTTTGTTAGTCGGTTGGTTCGTTGACTTGGTCGGCCATGCACTCCCCGGGTTGCTCGGTCAGTCGGCGCGGGGCCGAGTTGCAACGGGGGTTGGTTTCCAGCAGGGCATGGCGGCCCCCGCATCTCATGCGGGCCATGCTGGTGATATGGGCGATCCGAATCGCGCGGCCCTTGCGGCTTGCGGAGTTCATCGGGCCCGTGTGTGACAATCCGTTTCCGCCCGCCGAATAACTAGCCGTCCGTGCTCAGGTGTCGCCCGTGTCGCTGCACACTCTGCGCTTTGCAGAAACCACAACGACAAGGACGTCGCCAACACGCGATGAACGAATCTTTGCTTTTTGTATGGGGATTGTTTCGTGTTCCGGCCAGGCGGCGCCATGCGATACATTCGAAACCAAAATAACTATTGTTTTGTTCACCAGTCCGGCAATTGTATGGAGCTCTGGTCAAAATCGTATGAGGATGTTAATGGTGATGATGATGATGATGATGCTGATGATGATGATGATGATGATGATGATGATGATGATGGTGATGATGATGATGATGATGACGATGACGATGACGATGACGATGATGATGCGGATGGTGATGATGATGCTGATGATGATGACGATGGTGATGATAATGATGATGCTGACGATGATGATGATGATGATGATGATGATGATGATGATGATGATGATGACCACGACGATGATGGTGATGATGGTGATGATGATGATGATGATGATGATGATGATGATGATGATGATGATGATGATGATGCCGACGACGACGAGGACATGCGCAGGACAGAGGCAGGGGTGGGAGGAGGGAGGAGAGGAAAGAAGGACGGAGAGAGGGAAGGAGGGAGGGAGGGAGGGAGGGAAGGAACGCGGGGGCCGTCTCTTGAAAACGAGGGCCCAATACCACAGACAGGATGATTCGGGAATCGTTTGGGGAGTTTTTTGTTTTGATTTTCTTTTTTCCTCCACTCCCATCGTTTGACACTTCTTCATTTTTCTGTCAAGATTTGCCTACAGGGGGACACGCCCGACCTACATGTAGTCCCTCCTTCTAGGGCCGCCCCTCCAGCGAACCCCGCGCCCGGAGGGCCGGCCGCTGCGGCCTAAGCGCGTGCACTCGAGCCGCGGGAGCGTCAGGCCGCGCGCGCCGCCGCCGCTGCCGCCGCCGCCCGCGCTGTCTCCCGCCCCGGAGGAGCGGGGCGATGGCCTGTGCGGGCGTCGAGCAGTGGGGGTGGCGATTCAAGCAGTGGCGAAGCGTCCTGGCGCGCTTATAGGCCTACCAAACAATGTTCTAAGAACCTTGTGTGGTTTCCAGGAAATGTTCTTAGAACATTTCTGCCCAGGGCTGTTTTGTTTTAGCACATGGGGTTAATGTTCTAAGAACAATGTTTTTGTTGTTCGAACCTTTCTGGGTTCTAAGAACATGTCGTGGTAGGACTACAATTATCCCAGTGCGACCCTACCTAGGAGTTGGAACCCCTAGGAAAGCAGCATTAGTAGTAACAGTAACGCTAAGCTAAAGCTAAGCTAAATTTAAGCTAAAGTTAAGCTAAAGCTAAGCTACAGCTAAGCTAAAGCTAAGCTAAAGCTAAGCTAAAGCTGAGCAGAAGCTAAGCTAAAGCTAAGCTACAGCTAAGCTAACTATGAGCTAAAGCTAAGCTAAAGCTAAGCTAAAGCTAAGCTAAAGCTACGCTACAGCTAAGTTCAAGCTAAGCTCAAGCTAAGCTAAAGCTAAGCTACAGCTAAGCTAAAGCTAAGCGAAAAGCTAAGCGAAACGCTAAGCTAAAGCTAAGCTACAGCTAAGCTAAAGCTAAGCTAAATCTAAGCTAAAGCTAAGCTAAAGCTAAAGCTAAAGCTAAAGCTCCCAGGGGACCGGGGGGAACCGCGGGGTGGGGACTGGGGGAACCGCCCGGGGCGCTTTGCACTGCCCGGCCCCTTTAAGCTAAGAGAGTAAGAACCCTTCTAGGCATAGCCTAGGTAGGGAATGATATTTTAGGAAAGTGCTTCTGGGACACGCTGCCGGCTCAAGCACGCCGCTGCGGGGATGCCTGCCCACAGGGGCAGCTGGCCTGAGACTGTGCTGCCGATTTCCTCTCTAGCACCCCTTGTATGGGGAGACCTAATGGTACCCATACCGCTACCCCCCAGGCCTCTCCCGGGGTGCGTTTTGACCAAGATTCCGAGGCGAATCCAGCGGTGGCGACGAGGGCCTCCATCCACAGAGGCCCAAGAAGGGGAAAACGGGTGAAGGGTTGAGGTATGGGTACCTCTCCCTCCTCTGACAGTCCTTCCGTACCCATGGCGGTCGTCCCGATCACCGCAGCGCGCGCAGGCCGCACGGCCCGGGAACCGCCGAGGCCGGGCAGTGCAGCTCGGCCTTCCCCTCAGCGGTTGGGGTTCTGGGGCCCCGGGCCCGCGCGTCGTGCGCTGCGCGGGCGGACGCGGGTCGGGGTGGCGGGCGGCTCAGAATCAGGCAGTGGCGAAGCATCCTGGCTCGCCTACAGGCCCACCAAAGAAAGTTTTAAGAACCTGTTGTGGTCTGCGTGGAAGGTTCTTTGAACATTACTGGCGGGGGCTGCCTTGTTTTAACACGTCTGGTTTATGTTACAGAAAAACATTGTGCTTGGAACATGTATGGGGTCAAAGAAAAGTTCTCGGCAGGCAAATAGGAATGCCGGGACGGTCGGTCCGGGCTCAAGAGAATGAGGATGTATGACGGTTTGGGGTGTGCTTTGTGGGACGCATGCCCCGCGGGAACGCACCAAAGAGTCTCACCTCGCCCTCGGCTACCTCCTCTCTTTCCATATTGTCAGATCGTGATTTTTTAAAGGCTAGTCACTAGTCCCTTCCCGGGGCTGATGAATAGACCCAGCGAGGCGCGTGTGTGTATGCATGCATGTATGTATGTATGTATGTATGTATGTATGTATGTACGTACGTACGTACGTACGTACGTACGTACGTACGTATGTATGTATGTATGTATGTATGTATGTATGTATGTATGTATGTATGTATGTATGTGTGTATAGGTGTATATATGTCTGTCTGTCTGTCTGCCTGCCTGCCTGTCTGTCTGTCTGTCTGTCTGTCTGTCTGTCTGTCTGTATGGATGGATGGACGGATGGATGGATGGATGGATGGGTGTATGCATTCATACATGTACGTACGTACGTACGTACGTACGCATGCATGTATGTATGTATGTATGTATGTATGTATGCATGTATGTATGTATGTATGTCTGTATGTATGTATGTATGTATGTATGTATGTCTGTATGTCTCTCTCTCTATAGATATATATATGTATATGTCCGTAAGGGCTTCGCCCCCTGCCGCCGGCCCCCTCTCTCGGAGAATGGGCCATGGAAGAGCTAAGTCATGAGGCCTTGGCGCTGTCGTGAAGCAGTATCGAAACTTCATGCGAAGCCGATTCGCAATCACAGCAAAACCAACTGATCACAAGAGGGGTTACCACACCTGGCGATTGGTAAGACGTGTATGGTTTACGGGCTTGGTTACCACACCTTGCGATTAAAGGGCCGAGGGAGTTCTCGCAGTTTGGGTTACCACGCCTTGCGATGGATGTGCGTGAAGGGTGGCACCGAATTTCAGAAATGTGGCAAATCCCCTGTGTTTTTGGACCCTGACCCCGCGGATCTGCGTGAGGGGTGGCACCGAATTTCAGAAATGTGGCAAATCCCCTGTGTTTTTGGACCCTGACCCCGCGGATCTGCGTGAGGGGTGGCACCGAATTTCAGAAATGTGGCACATCCCCTGTGTTTTTGGACCCTGACCCCGCGGATCTGCGTGAGGGGTGGCACCGAATTTCAGAAATGTAGCAAATCCCTTGTGTTTTTGGACCCTGACCCCGCGGATCTGCATGAGGGGTGGCACCGAATTTCAGAAATGTAGCAAATCCATTGTGTTTGTGGACCCTGACCCCGCGGATCTGCGTGAGGGGTGGCACCGAGTTTTAGAAATGTGGCAACTCCCCTGTGTTTTTGGACCCTGACCCCGCGGATCTGCGTAAGGGGTGGCGCCGAATTTCAGAAATGTGGCAAATACCTTGTGTTTTTGGACCCTGACCCCGCGGATCTGCGTGAGGGGTGGCACCGAATTTCAGAAATGTGGCAACTCCCATGTGTTTTTGGACCCTGACCCCGCGGATCTGCGTGAGGGGTGTCGATTTCGAGCCCCCCCAGCAATTCAGACAACGCGCCCAGGGGGTGCTAAACATCTGGTTTGGGCCTCCCCCCCCCCTCGCGCGGTCAATCAACTAGTTACAGTAACCAGCAATAAGTCAACTAGTTACAGTAACCAGCAAGAAGCAGAACTGTAACACTGGAAACTACAAGCTACAACTGGTACTGGAAACTGCGAACCTCGCGCCTACAGCCTGGTGGCCCCACAAGGGGGCCGGCGGAAATATATATATATATATATATATATGCTTGTGTATGTATGTACGTATGTATGTATGTATGTATGTATGTATGCATGCATGCATGTATGTATGTATGTATGTATGTATGTATGCATGCATGCATGCATGCATGTATGTATGTATGTATGTATATATATACATACATATACATATATGTTCGTGTGTGCATGTATGTATATATGTATGTGTGTATGTATGTATGTATGCATGCATGCATGCATGTATGCATGTATGTATATATGAATGTATGTATGCTTGCATGCATGCATGCATGCATGCATGCATGCATGCATGCATGCATGTATGTATGTATGTATGTATGTATGTATGTATGTATGTATGTATGTATGTATGTATGTATGTGTGTGTGTGTATGTATGTATGTATGCATGCATGCATGCATGTATGTATGTATGTATGTATGTATGTATGTATGTATGTATGTATGTGTGTATATATGTGTATGTATGTGTATCACGTGCGTCAGAGGGGAGGAGGAGAGGATCGGGAAGGAGGAAAAGGAGGAAAAGGCGGAGGACAAGGAAAAGGACAACAGGGAGGACGAGAAGGAGGAGGAGGTGGAGGAGGAGGAGGAGGAAGAGGAGGAGGAGACCAGAGCGACGAAGAGAGCGGCCGCTGGAAACGGGCGCAGGTAGGGCCGGGGACGGCGGCGACGACGGCAACAGAGGGGGGGAGGAGGACTGCCCGCATTGCTCGGGTTGGACGAGAAGCTGGGGAAAGAAAGGGGTGGGTGCGAAGCCTGCTGCGCGCAGCTGGTTTCCCGCGCAGCGAGAAGCTGCGCGCGCTGCTGCTGCGCGCAGCTGGGGAAAGAAAGGGCGGGGGGTGCCGAAGGGCCAATCCTCGACGCATGGCCGCACTCGGCGCTAGGAGGTGCTGGGAAAGTCGGCGACGTGAGCTGCTTCGCAAATCCCCCCTTTGCTGCTCCCCGCTTTCGTCCAGCCTGGCTTGCCCGCAGGCCCGCATCGGTTCCACAGAAGAACGGACGCCCCGGCTCGCCCTCGCCTCCCGCCTTCCCCCCCTTGCCTCTCGTTGGCGGCCGGGCGTCGGCGCTGATCACCGGCGCCGCCCGTTGATTTTCAATCTGGCGGGCGCCACCCCGCGATTCGCCTCAACAGGGGACACATTTCTTGTTTGAAGCACGCGCCCCCACGGATTTGTGAACCACAAGCTGACATTCGGGTGGTGGTGGTGCATTTCCTCATCCCTGCGGTTTTTTTGAGGAAGGAGGGTGAAGGTGGTGATTGGCGTATTGGGGAGGGGCGCGTCGCCCAACCGTGCAGCAGGGTCCCCAAATATTGGCGTCAACGTTCTCGTTGGCAAGAGCTTGGTTGTCCATTCCGATTTTTGTCTCAGTTTTATCGTGAACTGTCCAAGGGTACCAGGCCCCGAAGAAGGCCTTCCGAACTCTACTGATGTCCATGATGGCGTCAACGTTCTCGTTGGCAAGAGCTTGGTTGTCCATTCCGATTTTTGTTTCAGTTTCATCGTGAACTGTCCAAGGGTACCAGGCCCCGAAGAAGGCCTTCCGAGCTCTACTGATATCCATGATGGCGTCAACGTTCTCGTTGGCAAGAGCTTGGTTGTCCATTCCGATTTTTGTTTCAGTTTTATCGTGAACTGTCTAAGGGTACCAGGCCCCGAAGAAGGCCTTCCGAGCTCTACTGATATCCATGATGGCGTCAACGTTCTCGTTGGCAAGAGCTTGGTTGTCCATTCCTCAGTTTTATCGTGAATGCCTTTCTACTGGGCGACGTTCTCGTTGGCAAGAGCTTGGTTGTCCATTCCGATTTTTGTTTTTTATCGTGAACTGTTACCAGGCCCCGAAGAAGGCCTTCCGAGCTCTACTGATATCCATGATGGCGTCAACGTTCTGGTTGGCAAGAGCTTGGTTGTCCATTCCGATTTTTGTCCCAGTTTTATCGTGAACTGTCCAAGGGTACCAGGCCCCGAAGAAGGCCTTCCGAACTCTACTGATATCCATGATGGCGTCAACGTTCTCGTTGGCAAGAGCTTGGTTGTCCATTCCGATTTTTGTTTCAGTTTTATCGTGAACTGTCCAAGGGCACCAGGCCCCGAAGAAGGCCTTCCGAGCTCTACTGATATCCATGATGGCGTCAACGTTCTGGTTGGCAAGAGCTTGGTTGTCCATTCCGATTTTTGTCCCAGTTTTATCGTGAACTGTCCAAGGGTACCAGGCCCCGAAGAAGGCCTTCCGAACTCTACTGATATCCGTGATGGCGTCAGCGTTCTCGTTGGCAAGAGCTTGGTTGTCCATTCCGATTTTTGTTCCAGTTTTATCGTGAACTGTCCAAGGGCACCAGGCCCCGATGAAGGCCTTCCGAACTCTACTGATATCCATGATGGCGTCAACGTTCTCGTTGGCAAGAGCTTGGTTGTCCATTCCGATGTTTGTTTCAGTTTGTTGTCCAAGGGCACCAGGCCCCGAAGAAGAACTCTACTGATATCCGTGATGGCGTCAACGTTCTCGTTGGCAAGAGCTTGGTTGTCCATTCCGATTTTTGTTTCAGTTTTATCGTGAACTGTCCAAGGGCACCAGGCCCCGAAGAAAGGCCTTCCCGAGCTCTACTGATATCCGTGATGGCGTCAACGTTCTCGTTGGCAAGAGCTTGGTTGTCCATTCCGATTTTTGTTTCAGTTTTATCGTGAACTGTCCAAGGGCACCAGGCCCCGAAGAAGGCCTTCCGAGCTCTACTGATATCCGTGATGGCGTCAACGTTCTCGTTGGCAAGAGCTTGGTTGTCCATTCCGATTTTTGTTTCAGTTTTATCGTGAACTGTCCAAGGGCACCAGGCCCCGAAGAAGGCCTTCCGAGCTCTACTGATATCCGTGATGGCGTCAACGTTCTCGTTGGCAAGAGCTTGGTTGTCCATTCCGATTTTTGTTTCAGTTTTATCGTGAACTGTCCAAGGGCACCAGGCCCCGAAGAAGGCCTTCCGAGCTCTACTGATACCCGTGATGGCGTCAACGTTCTCGTTGGCAAGAGCTTGGTTGTCCACTCCGATTTTTGTTTCAGTTTTATCGTGAACTGTCCAAGGGCACCAGGCCCCGAAGAAGGCCTTCCGAACTCTACTGATATCCACCGTCCTTCCTCGCGACGCTCGGGCATGTAGTGCTATACCCGCGCCACCTGCGTGCACTCCCGTGGCGCGCACACGAGGCGGACAGTGCCGGGGGCGCCGGCCGTCGGCCCCGCTCGCCGGTCGCCTCTCGGAGGGAGCTGGGCGCCTGGGTATGAAACAAAAACGATAATTTCTCAAGTCCGCCAGCGGCTTTGTATGTATGGTGTCACGCCAGTGGCTCCCGAGGCGTCGGCGATGCTTGGCCCGAGGTGTCGTGCGGTGCCCAGTTCGTCGGCCGCCCAAGGGCGCACGGTGCCGCGCTGCCGTGGGGCCGTGGGGGGTCCCGACATGCTGCGGTGCAGGCGTGCCGCTCTCGAGGGTGTGAAGCCCCCTGCCTTCTTGGAAGGCCGCTTCCTCCCCGCCCATCGCCCGGCTCCCGCCATCGCTGCCTATACACCCCGGGCGCCGCGAGCTCTGGCTCGCAGCGTGGACCCCCAGAGCTTTCGGCCAGCTTCTCCAGGACTGGCTCTCTCGTTCCGATCGAGGGCGCTTTTTTCGGGGGCGACGGACGGGGGGGTGATGACTGGGGGGGCGCGGAGGTCATGGCGGGGGCCATGACATCTTCCCAGATTTCATGGCGCCTCTTCTTATTTCAATGCGTCCCCGGCCCCCCCGTCGCCGCCGCCGCCGCCTCCGCCTCCGCCTCCGTCTCCGTCTCTTTCTTTTCCTCCTCCTCCCCTTCCTCCTCCTCCTGCTCCTCTTCCTCCTCCTCCTCCTCCTCCTTTTCTTCCTCCTCCTCCTCCTCTTCCTCCTCCTCCTCCTCATCTTCCTCCTCCTCCTCCTCCTCATCCTCATCTTCCTCCTCCCCCTCCTCCACCCTAGTCCTCCTCCTCCTCCTCCTCCTCCTCCTCCTCCTCCTCCTCCCCCCCTCTGGGCCGCGCACGTGCCGCGGGCCACGATCTGTGCCCCCCCCCCCTGTTGGGAGCCGCCCCTCTTGGACGCCCCTTGGCGCTTGGTGGACGGCCCAGGCCCGATGCAGTGTCTCCAGGTGCAAGAACATCTTCCAGTGTCTTTCTCAGGAGGGGAAACAACACAGACACAGTGAATCGTCGATTCCCCAGAGAAAATACAAAGTATGGGAAGTTGGGGGGGGGGAAGACGAACATCAAACAATTATGGAGAATCATGGGTAATCCTGGGATTCGTGTGAATTTACTTGTCTGCCCCAGGGCCCTCTCAGTTCCGTCATGTTTTGTTGTTTTTCATCTCGTTGCGAGGGGGTTCTGGGTCTTTGGGGGGGAAATCGACCCCTTTCCTCACTTGCCCTGGGGACGTGCAGACCAGAGGTTCGACGCGGGTCCAGCCGTGGCGACAGGAGGCCTCCCAGAGGCCCAGATCGGCCCAGACCTTGCCCTCAGAGCGCCCCCTCAGGGACTTGCCGGGCATGGAGAACGACTCACGCACGGAGGAGTCGCTGCTGCACGGCGCACGTTGGTTTCGAAAGTACGCCTTGCGCGAATGTTCGTACAGTGGACCTCGCCCCCTTGCCCTCAGAGCGCCCCCTTCAGGGACCTGCCGGGCATGGAGAACGACTCGCGCACGGAGGAGTCGCTGCTGCACGGCGCGCCGGGCACTTCGGGCCGCATGTGGCTGGCGCCGTTCGCGCGGCACCCACCCAACTCGGTGGCCAGACAGCACGCCGATCATTTTGTTGGTCTATTTATACACATTACTCTCTCTCTCTCTGCTCTCTCTGCTCTCTCTGCTCTCTCTGCTCTCTCTTTCTCTCTCTCTCTCTGTCTCAATGTGTGTTTAATTGTGTCTCGTGCTCTCTCTCTCTCTCTCTTTCTGTTTGTTTCTCTGCCTCGCGCTCCTTGTTTAGCTCTCTCTACTGCTATAATGTCTTTGTTCCTCTCTCTCTCTCCCTCTCTCTTACCTTCTTCTTCGTCGTCCAGGAGTGGGATGGAGGGTTTGGCATCCTCCGCGCCATTAACCTGCCGTCGCTTGTGAGCCTCGGGAGAAACATAACCGTTTTTTGTGTTCTCTCTCTCTCTCACATTGCTTCTTCGAGGATAAGGGTCTGTGATTGCCTTCGCTCGCCTACCTTGCCATCGGTTTCGGCTTGTCGAAAATGGAGCTAAACGCAGTTGCAGGGAACTTCTGGTGCCCGCCCCTGCCAGCTCCCTTCACCCCTTCCGTTCCCCTTGAAGACGTGCCACTTCTCCTCCTGACGATTGTCGTCGTCCTCTCGTCCCCCTGCCCCCCTTCCCTCCCCCCTCCCTTCCCCATGCAAGGTGGAGCTCGTCTTTGATGAGCCGACGCAGATCTCGGCAGTGCACATCTGGAACTACACCAGGACGCCAGCGTTGCTCCCAACTCCTCTTGGGCGATGTCGAAGGGGAGGAGGCGTCTTTCAGCAGCGACACCTTGCTGAGAGTTCTCTCGAGGTGCCGGGGTGGAGTCGTCCACCATGGCTGTCTCACCCGAGATCCTGCGGCAGAGTCGTTAGGCAAGGGGACCTCATTGCAGGTGTGACTTTGGCTGGGCTCACTCCGCACCTGTTTCCAGTGGGAATGTATCCATACACACCAGCTCCAGAGTCTACCCAGCTTGCGCATCAAGTTGAGGCATGCCGCCCCTGTGTTGACTAACGCAGCAATCCTTCCTCACCTCTTTTGGCAAGAGGAGGAGGAGGAGCAGGAGGAGGAGGAGGAGGAAGAGGAACTAGGGTGGAGGAGGGGAGGAGGAGGAAGATGAGGATGATGAGGAGGAGGAGGAAGAGGGAAGAGGAGGAGGAGAAGGAAGAGGAGGAGGAGGAGGAGGGAGGAGGAGGACGACGAGGAGGACGATGAAGATGAAGATGAACACGATGATGATGATGATGATGATGATGATGATGATGATGATGATGATGATGATGATGATGATGATGATGATGATGATGATGATGATGATGATGATGATGATGATGATGATGATGATGATGATGATGATGATGATGATGATGATGATGATGATGATGATGATGATGATGATGATGATGATGATGATGATGATGATGATGATGATGATAATGATGATGATGATGATGCTGCTGGCTGATGATGACGATGATACTGATGATGATGATGAGGATGATGATGAGGATGATGAGGATGATGATGAGGATGATGCTGATGATGATGCATATGATGATGATGCTGATGCTGCTGATGATGATGCTGATGCTGCTGCTGATGATGATGATATCGATGCTGATGATGCTACTGATGATGATGATGCTGATATTGATGCTGATGATGCTGGCGATGATGATGCTGATGATGATGCTGATGATGACGATGACCATGATGATGATGATGATGCTGATGCTGATGATGATGATGATGATGATGATGCTACTGATGATGCTGATGATGATGCTGATTGCTGGTGATGATGCTGATGATGATGATGATGCTGATTATGATGATGATGATGATGATGATGATGATGATGACGATGATTATGATTGATGATGATGCTGCCTGCTGCTGATGGTGAGGTGGTGATGATGCTTGAAATGCTGCCTGCGCTGTTGTTGATAGATGATGATGATGATGTTGATGATACTAGATGATGATGGTGAATTGATGATGAATGATGATGATGATGAATGCTGGTGATGACGATGATGGTGAATGGGTGATGCTGATGAATGATGCTGATTGAAACGTTGCTCTCAATCCGATGGTGATGGTGATGGGTGGAATGATGAACGAATGAATGGGGGATGGTGATGATGATGGGAATGATGAATGTGATTGATGATTGATGCTGATATGATGATGATGATGATGAATGTGATGATGATGATGATGATGATGATGATGATGATGATGATGATGATGATGATGATGATGATGATGATGATGATGCTGATGATGATGATGATGATGATGATGATGATGATGATGATGATGATGATGATGATGATGAGGCTGATGCTGATGCTGATACTGATGCTGATGCTGATGCTGATGCTGAGGATTCGGATGAGGAGGATGAAGAGGAGGAAGAGGAGCGGGGAGGAGGAGGAGGAGAATGAGGAGGAGGAGGAGGGATGAGGAGAGTAGGAGGAGGAGGAGCAAGGAGGAAGGAGGAGGAGGAGGAGGGAGGGAGGAGGAAGGAGAGGAGGAGGAGAGACACATAAGGAGGAGGAGGAGGAGGAGGAGAAGGAGGAGGAGGAGGGGGAGGGGGGAGGGAGTAGGCAGGAGGAGGTGGATGGGGAGGAGGAGGAGGGGGAAGAAGGAGGAGGAGGAGGGAGGATGAGTAGGAGGAGGAGGAGAAGGAAGAGGATGAGGAGGAAGGAGGAGGAGGAGGACGCGGAGGAGGAGGAGGAGGAGGAGGAGGAGGAGATCCGTAGCCATTTTGGCTCAAGTAAACCATTTCTCGAGGTGGCTTACAGTGAGCTAGCGATTGTGCGATCCACTGCTTGTGCTTGCCCAAGCCTTCCAGTCTCTTTTCATATCCAGAGTCACATTCATGGGCGAGCGCGTTGCCGGTGCTCGCAATGAGGTGTGGTGCTGTCCCAAGAAGAAGTGCGGTTTCAAAACGAATCTCTCGTGGAAACAGTTTTGCTACAAGTGTGGTGCTGCACGCCCTGCTGCGCCTGCTCCAGTGCAGCAACAACGTGGGCCGCAAGGTGCCTGGGCTGACGGGTCGCCTCGTTCAGCCGCCGCTCGGCCCAAACACAAGCTACTTGAGCCCGCGCAGCTTGACAAGATTGTGCGCATGTCCAACGAAGATTTCGAGGTGTGCAAGGGGCTCCTCTCGCCCTCTCAGCGTGCTCGTGTCGTGGCGCAGCGTGCCCTGGCTGCTGGTGACCCTCGTGCTGTTCAGCGGCATGCGCAGGCTCTGCTGGACGATCTCAAGAAGCAGATCGCCCACGTCTCCAAACATATCGAGAAGGTCGAGTCCGTCGTGCAGAGCAAGGTCCTGGAGCTCGTCAAGCTCAAGGACAACCTCGCGTCGCTCGAGTGTCAGGAGCGAGTCGCCTCCGCCAAGGCCTCAGCGGCTTGGGCGCAATGCGCTGTTGGGGGTGCTGGAGCGGTCGACGCCGCGGGAACCGCGCTGTCGGCCGACGACCCCGCGTTCGCCCTGCTCATGCAGTTCCAGTCCTTGGATGCGAGCTTGGCTCGCTCGCTACGGTCATTGTTGGAGACGCGTGACACGCTTCTGGTTCCTGCTCACCCTGATGATGACGCTGCCACCGGCGACGGCTACGAGTCTGACGAACTGGACGACCCCAGTGGCGACGGCAACGCCATGGAGGACGCCCCGCCTGGAGAAGCACGTGCTGGACCCGCTCCAGCCGACGCTCGTGATGTGGAGGCTGCCGCGCTGGCAGTCTTCGGCCGACCTCCGCCTGAGTCCCCGTTTGCGCCAGGTGCCGCGCCTGCCGCACCGCTCTGTGGAGGGGGGGCGGGCTCGGACGTGGGACGGGGGCGGGATGGGTCGGGGGCTGCTGCAGCCAGTGCTGGCCCGCCGCCAGCCGCTCGTGTGCTCTCAGGTTTCCTTAAGAAGCTTTCCACGGAGCAAGGGTTTAATGCCTTCCTTGCCCATCATAAGATTCCGCGCAAGCATGCGGAGAACATTCTTGGAGGCATCAATGCTGCAGCGCAGAAGAAGTTTCGGCTCACTCCCTTCAGTGAGGGAGATCAAGTGCCCAGCAGGTCCCCGCCCAGAGCCTAGCGCTGGTCAGGCCAAGGAATGGACCATGATCACCGCCAATGTTGGGGGCCAGCTTGGGCTCGACGCGTACTTGTGTGAGTGCATTGCAAGTGGCGTTTTCCTAGTGCAGGAGACCAGGATCCCAGCCTCGTCGGTGGAGCCGACTGAGTCGCGCCTCCGCCAGACCGGCTGGTCAGCCTCTCTCACGGCTGCGCTGCCCACGCTTGGCAATCCCACTGGCGGCCTGACTACGGCCACGCCCAAGAGGATTGGTCTAGGTGTGCTCGAGAGTATTCCGCCTGTGCTGCAGCCTGCGCGTGCCAGCATTCACCATGTGGGAGGGATGATTCGAGGAGGTTTCCTGGTTGTGAATCTCTATCTGGTGCACTCCGTCGGGATGAATGAGGCTAACCGGAACATCCTGTGCCGCGTTGGCAGGTCCCTCAAGGCTGCTGGCATGGCGTTCGTGATCGGTGGGGCTTGGAATATACATCACGCTGATCTCCAGCAGACTGGGTGGGTCGATGCCATGGGCGCTGTCATCGTCGCCCCTGATGGCGGCACGTGCCGCCCAGCCATGAGGTGCATCGACTTTTTCGTCGTCTCGAGGGCCATTGCAGGTGCGGCCAGGGCAGAAATAGTTCAAGATGTCCCCATTTCCCCCCACTACCCTGTCAGGCTCGTCTTCCCACGCATTGGGCCCGTTGCTGAGGGCAAGTATGTTAAGTTGCCCAAGCGGTTCCCTCTGGAGCGCCCCATTGGGTGTCTGGGGCCCCCCGCCGAGGGTGGGTGGGAGCCCGTGGCCGCGGTGTGTTCTGATCCCAACGTCTCCCTGCAGGACAAATGGAGCAGCTTCCTTCGGGCGGCGGAGGACGAGTGGCTTGAGGTTGAGGTATTTCAGATTTCGGGAGGGCTGGCTGACGGGTACGTCGGTCGTGGCCTCCCTCTGAAGATCTCTAAGAAGCCATCTTGCCCTGGGCCTCCGAGATTTCCCAAGCTCTCCCCGTTGGCGTGTTGGCGGCGCAAGGTCAGCGTCCTTCTGTCAGACCTTGCCCGAGATCCTGTGGGCACTCACAGGCGGCAGCTCGTTTCGGCTGCCCATCGGCTTTCAGGTTTCCACCCGCCTCCCTGGCAGTGCCATGTATGCCGCCTGGGCGGCTGCGTTGCGCCAGGCTGATATGCTGCCGCTGCTCTCGGCCAAGGCGCTGGCTGAGCTGGCGGACGTCGAAGCAAAGAGGCTTCAGGCTCAGTCGGCGCGCGACAAGGACAGGGAGTGGAGCAAATGGGTTGACAAGCATTCCTCGGGGGGTATGTCGGCCCTGTTCAAGTTCTCCTCCCCTCCCATCGGCTGGCAACCCGATGCCCTCGATCATTCCACTCTCCGCCCCTGTTCGTCGGTCGAGTCGGTCGAGGCCCTCGAGGCTGAGTGGAAAAAGCGGTGGTCCGTGGGGCAGGCGAGACCCCCCCATCGAGTGGCCTGATCTTGGGGTGCCGCCAGAAAGACCCAGTGTTGGCGAGCTCGTGTGGGCTCTTAAAAGCTTTAAGTCTTCTACTGGCACTGGTTTCGATCAAGTGTCGCCCCGCTCCCTGCTGCTGTTGCCGCACACCGCGCTGGAAGCTTTGTGCGAGATCATCTCTCACATTGAG